CTTCCTTCCTTCCTTCCTTCCTTCCTTCCTTCGTCACAGAGGATGCAAACATCTGAAAGCAATATACGGAGCCCACACAGCTTCCTAAGCAACCGGACCCATGTTCTTTGTCCAAATTCATTTGTGCATCATGGACTAACTTGGTCAACTATGTGATGGAGTAACATATGTCTGGGCTTTTAAAAGTCCATTTTACTGAAAGTGGGACATCTGGCTAGGAATATTTCAATACTTCATGTCTATGTCATCCATTCACACTACACTATTTGAAACTAATGCACATTGGGGTTAAGGTTCGGAAGCCTTCTCCATCAGTGTTCTGCTCTAACAAGTATGGCATCTACCTGCTGATTGAGCCAGATAGAGAGAGGGCACCTCACTTACAAAAGCAATAGGGATCCATTCTCGCTTCCATTCCCATTTAGACAAGCAAAGGGAGGAGTTTCCTTTATCAAAAGGATACTCATTTCACAGCCAAATCTGAGTGGCCAATTGGTCTCCTTGCATTCACCACATAATGCCAGACTGGTGGCCCTTGAACATTCTCAGCATCTAAAAGGAACCATGGCTTGTCCTGATGAGTGAACTCAGTCATTGTATATAAGGAACACTCTTTCGAAGACTCAAAATGCCCAAATATGTTGAATTTCTAATCAGTACAAATCACTTTTCAGAATATAAAGTCAAATCCAAATGAGAGAGGTTAAAGTAGGGGGTTCAAAGAGAACCATCAACTCTGCAGTGTTTGGATCAGAGAAATACTATTATGACATCGCTTATCTCCTGATATCCTAGCAGACAGCCTCCTGTGATTGTCATATTTGAGAGGAGAGATTTGAGGGCATAGGGACAAAATAGTCCCTAACCATTGCTAGAAGGACTCACAGGTGCCTGATCCACTAGTTAAGATGAGGCCTTCACCCTCTGTCCCCCCTCTGGCCTCTCTTCATGCTCTTATGCTTCATGTGCAAACATGTGCCAGTGATGCTTCTCATGCGATTAAGCATGAAGGGGGTCAACTAATATCTATATACCAAATTGGGTTTAATAGAATAGAAATGGGGTGAAAAGTAGCATTTGACAGTGTGGGAAAATTGAAATTTGCTCTGTTTTTTTCAGCGTAATGTTAATATGTCCCTGTATATCTTCTCTATAATCGAGCACATTTCAGCCTGTTCTGTATGCAGTCCATTATATACTGATATAGCCATTGGGAACAAGGGAATAAAGAGTCTCAGGAAAATATAGATCTGACTCAGTAGAAAGGCAAAACAAGCGTGAAGTGAAAGTGTTTCATTTTAACAAAAAACAATTAAAGGGAAATAGGATTTTTCCAGTTGAACTTTATGGAAAACATCTGGACAATCAAAGCAGTCTGACAGGAAGTATTTGGTAATTCTTTATTTCAGTATTTGGCATTTCCTCAAGGACTTAAGGAACAATAGCTACAAACTCTCAAAGTGTAAGGCACTCATATTAGCATTAACAACAAAGACCAAATGTCCCCCAAATCACTGAGCCAATATGTTATGGGGGTGGTTTGTGTGTCTGAGTTTCAATTACAGCAACTTGATTATTGTGTCATGATCATTTTATTTCTGTTTTTCTTTGATAGTGTGAGGACAAAATGTTGGGGCCATTTTTTTCCATTTGGGGTAGTTTTATAGGAGAGAATTAAATACAAAAACAGGTGACTTTAGCCTTGGTGCTTACATTGACCTATAAACATTACCCCCAACATAGGAAAACATAGCTAGCTCTTGACAGTAAAATAATTTATTTCATTGTTTAATTGACTTTTTCCATATTTATCCACCTTATTTTATATAGAGAATTTGATTCTGATTCACAAAGGATGTTATGCGGCTAAAGGAACAATGGATGGCTTAAGCCTCTGAAAAGTGTAAGGCGTTCATATTGTCACTAAAATGAGCAATCAAATGTCCCCAAAGGGAACATTCAGTCTGAAATTGTTGACCCTGTTCAATCTGGGGTGGGGGGACTATAGTAGACATACATATGGTCTAGGGAATGTGGGTTCACTACTTCTGCCATTATACATGCAAAAAGAAGCAGAACATCTCCAGCAATGATGATTTCTCAAACCGCCAAAGATTTATCAATGCGTGGTCATATTTTTGCTCTTTTCTGAGACCAATGGGAAAATATGTATTTCTTTGTTATCTGACTCATTGCTTCCTCCATTTCCCGATTTCTTAGAGTGTATATTATAGGATTAAGGAAAGGAGTGATTGTGGTATAAAATACGGATGCTACCTTGTCCACACTGGAGCTGAAGATGGGGATAAGGTACACAAAGAGACAAGGCAGAAAAGCAAGGCTGACCACTGTCAAGTGAGAGCTACAAGTGTTCAGAGCCTTCCCTCCACTCTCTCTGAAGTGGCCTTGAAGCGTACTCAAGATGATGCCATAGGAGACCAGCAAGATGATGAAAGAAACCAGGGAGAGCAGACCGCTGTTGGCCACCATGAGTATCTCAGTGACACGGGTGTCAACACAAGCCAGTTTGACTATCTGTGGAACATCACAAAAGAAATTGTCCAGTTCATTTGGCCCACAGAACGGCAGCCTCAGGACCAGGAACAGCTGGCTGGCAGAGTGGAGGAGGCCCAGCCCAACAGAGACACAGGAGACTAAAGCAACGGGGGCGGGTCCTCTTTGTTGTTTATGTTAGTGGGGGAAAAAAAGGCA